AGAGGCCCTGACAAACTGTCTCAAGAGCGGGCTGCAACAAATGGCTTTTCATCCTTATCTTCTGATAAGAATGGAAAGTCATTCCTCTTACTACTATGTCACTTAACTCGTCCGTAGTTGTAGTTAGTTTATTTTTCTGGCTGGCTCACGTATGCATGTACCTGATGGTACATGATTGCACCATACATGCCAGCCATCCCTCCCCATAACTCGCGGTTATGATGTACATAGAGTTGCGAATATCCAATAATCGCGTTTGCTTTTAGAGTTGCGAATTGTTATTTTTCGCGTTTCCTTTTCAGGGTAGTGTTACGAATAATTACCATTCGCGATTGTTTTCATGCAAACTTAGGTACCGAAAGTTTGCTTTAAAAGTAGCGTTGCGAATTATTGATAAACGCGATTGCTCGTAGAGTTGCGAATTACCATTTTTCGCGTTTCCTTTTCAGAGTAGTGTTGCGAATAATCACGATTCGCGTTGCTTTTTTACTCTTTTATACATATAATGGACATCAACCGCGTTTGCAATTTTCATACTATAAATTAGCGTTGCGATCTTGATCAATCGTGCGATTTTTTATTTAGAGTTGCGATATTTTCAATGCCCAAATTCTACCCTAACTGTAGTAATAGAAGTAGTTAGTTTATTTTGTGGCCAGTACATGTCTATGTACATGTACCAATAGCCCCTGATTAAAGTTAGAGTTGTGAATAATATACAATGTTCGCGTTTGCTCGTAGAGTTGCGAACAAATATTTATCGCGTTGATATATCAGTGTTGCGAATAAATACGATTCGCGATTGTCTTTATGCAAACCTAGGAACCGGGCGTTTGCTTTAAAAATAGCGTTGCGAATTTTTAGTAAACGCGATTGCTCGTAGAGTTGCGAATTACTATTTTTCGCGTTTGCTTTTCAGGGTAGTGTTGCGAATAATTACCATTCGCGGTTGCTTTTATTCTTACAAGTCGCGTTTGTAATTTTTCTATTATAAATTAGCGTTGCGATTGTTGATTTATCGCGCTGTTGCCCCGTAGTGTTGCGATATTTAAAACGTCTAACTTCATCCCCATATGTGCCACACTATTGTAGTTTGAAGTAGCTTGATGTAGTTAGTTTATTTCGTGCATGTATGTTTGTAGCTACAACCGAAGACGCCAGCACCTGATCCAGCGTTTTTGGGCAACGCGATTTGCATTAGCGTTGCGAAACATAAATGTATTTCCATTAAAGATAGAGTTGCGTATATACAATAATCGCGTTTGCTCGTAGAGTTGCGAATTCCTATTTTTCGCGTTTTCTTTTCAGGGTAGCGTGGCGAATTCCATACGCGATTGCTTTTATTGTTATTTAAGAATAGTGTTGCGAACGTACCGATCGGTTTGCTCTTAGCGTTGCGAATTACTATTTTTCGCGTTTACTTTTCAGGGTAGTGTTGCGAATAATCACCATTCGCGGTTGCTTTTATTGTTATAAATCGCGTTTGGAATTTTTATATTATAAACTAGCGTTGCGATTTTGACTTGTCGCGTTTTTTATCAATTAGAGTTGCGATTCAATGCCCAAAAGCTGGCCATAACGCTGGCCACTGTTTCAAGATCATCAAGAAGCAAGATGGGATTCTACAGAGCCTCGAATGGCTCAACATAATTATTAAAATTAGTGTTGCGTATGATTGAATATGGGTGCACGCGATTTAATTAATAAAGGAGTCCTGTGCGATTCATTTTACGAATAATAAGCACCACTCGCGTATACTTTTATATTTTATAAATTAGCGTTGCGAAAGAAATCCACTCACGGGTTGTTTTTTGAATTTATGAGTGGAAAATATATCCTTTTCTTTATATCTTTGTCAATGAAAACACTGCTTGAAAGTACTGGTGTAAATAGACCAATTATTTTCTTTTTCAAAACGTGTTAAAACCTGTAATTTTTATGAATATACTTTTATCACAGATTTGTGATGCATTTAAAAATGCTGTATTGTAATTAATTGTGTCATAGATTAAATTCACGATTCATATATATATCACCAATTATTCATTATTAGAGTTGATAATTTTCACGGGATATAATAACCTTTTCAACCTAATTGTTATTTATAAATAGTGGATTTTTTTATAAATATTCTGTATTCTTTGCATAAATCAAAGTTTGCTCGCGATCATTGTTTTAATTAATGGCAAATAGAATGCTTGTATCAAAAGGGTATGCAAATTGCAATTCGATATTTCATATTGAGAGTTAATTTCCGCGTAGAATCGACATTTTCGTTCGCTATTGCTTGTTCTGTATGAACTTAATTTAGTTTTTAATACAGTAAAATATAATTATTGCAATGTATACGTCTTGAAAAATTTTTTATTTGATAAATGAATATTTCGTATTTATCTTAACACTGAGACGAATTTAACTTTTCATTTAATTTCAATTACATAGTATTTATGTTTTTAAACTCTTTAATATAAATTTTTGTTCGTGGAAACTTCAGTTCAAATATTAATTTCATAATATAATATTATTTTTTTCTGTGTCCATTAATACACTTTCATTTCAGCTATTAATCCTTTGAACAAGTTCTTGTTACAGGATAGAAAATCATCGAAGAATGGAATTGAAATGGTACACGGATTTCATCTTGATCGTTCGTAGAAAAATACTTCATACAATTTTATTTATTGTCTGATTTATGTTTCAGGGAAACATCGTGGGATTAATCAAGATACCAAGAAGAAATATTTTTTCATATTTATTTGTTTTATATGAGACATATTTTATTGGATATGAGTTTTTGTTTCAGGAAAACATCGTGGGAGTGACGAAGACACCAAGAAGAAAATATCTTGTCATGTTTCTTTGTTTCACGTCGGTTATATTTATTGTATATGAGTGTATGTTTTAGAAAAACATCGTGGGATCGATGAAGACACCAAGAAGAAAATATTTCCTCGTATTTCTTCATGTTTCTACAGATTGCGTTAGAATATAAGTACAAATGTATATAGATTATAAGATAAAAAAGCGTTCTCCTGCCGTTTATTAAATATTACCGAAGCGTAAATTTAAGTGGGAATGATTAATATGAAGATACATATTAGTATTCTAATATGCAAGGTCCATACGTGCAGTTGCACATTTCTGGTTGGATCTTCAGGATCCTTTCTTCGTTTTGTACGAGTGTCTTGTTATTTAAAAAGGAACAATTAATAATAAAGTACATATTGGTACTTTAGTAATCAGGATTCGTACGTGCAGTTGCACATTCCAATTTCGTTTCTAGAAAACATGTGATGGATTATTTCACATGTATCAACATTTTGTTAGGTTTTCGATCTCTTCATCGGTCAGAGTTCGTGCGTGCAGTTGCACATTTAAATTTCGTTTTTAGAAAACATGTGTATCATCTCACATGTATTGACATTTTGTTAGGTTCTTCGTCTCTTGATTGGGCAGTTCTTTTAAGAACTCTCCTTTTGTAGCTCGTTTCTAACTTTTCGTTAGCTTCTCCCTTGGATAGGTATTCGAATTCCTCGCCAAAGGAAGGGTGGTTGGGGCGAGGCTAGGGTGGGTCTCCAGTCGCAGCAACCTCCTCGCGGTGAGACCTGGGTCATATTATTTACTATGCAATTAATATAATTATTAATTACATAGCAAATAATATGAGCTAATGGCTGCGTTCTTCTTATAGTTCCACATACCTTCTTCGTCCTGGTGTGCGGTCTAATAACACTGATTTCGAGTCGCAAATACGTTTTTGCCGAGTTAGTTTTTAAATAAATAATATATTACAATTTAAAATAAAAAATAGAGGATTTGCGGTGTATTTATCAATGAGATCCTTACGTATTTTAATAATTTCGAAATCTTTAAATAATCTCGATCGATTGGTTATTCCAATGAAATTAATCGATCGATGCCCAATTCTGGACCATACAGCTTTCATTCCGTTGAAAAATAATAAAATTTATGTAATTTTATTTTCTGTCTCACTTCCTCTTGTGTTAATTTCTAAATCTGTCGATAACGTTGCGAGTGACACGAAAATGGTAATGGGGTCCCGGGACCCCAGAAACTCGGGCCGAAAAATTACATTAGGTGAAAGGTCTGTTCATATACCTCGTCTGTGGCGTAAGGACATTGTCTTTTATTAGTTGTTAATTGTTAGTTGTCTTTAGTAGAAGTTGCCTATGAATGGGATTCAAATTCATTTTTGAATCTGTTGGTAACGTTGCGAATGACACGAAAATGGTAATGGGGTCTCGAGACTCCATAAAAATGGGCCAAAAATTCATTGGGTGAAAGGTCTATTCGTAAACCTCGTCTGTGATAGCGTTATAGTGTAATTTCATTTCCATTAAGCGTGATTTACTTTTGAGAACTAAAAAGAATTCCTGTAATATCATTTCCTACCACGATGAGCGCTATGATCTATTTCTATAACCTGTTAGTAACGTAGCGAGTGACTAACTTCTTCTTCCAGTTTATTTCAATAAATAGCACTTTATTATCGTACATTTTATTACAGCTCAGTCTAATTACATTGCGTAATAAATAAATAAATAAATAAATAAGTATAATAAATGTAACAATAGAGAGTAACAAAATATAAAAATAATCGTCACATTATCTTTTGTAGTGCCAAATATGCAAAAAATGTAATACTTTTTAATTTTTTTATCTAAACGGAGAATCAGTTAGCAGTAGTTTCGCAAATTCATTAACAAAAACAGGTGAGAAAATAAATTGAGCAGATAAAAATCCTTATAGATCAGACGACTTTACCAATGCACGATAAAGCGAATTACGTGTTGCTCGTGCGATATTAAACGCACAAAATAAATACGACTTATTATTAATAGCAAGAGAACGTTAACTATATACGATCACGAAATGAATTGGGTATTCATTATGATTTACGATTTAAAATAAAATATTAGCCTAGGAAATGCCGTTAACATATTTTACAACAAGCTCCGCGATAATTTTTAACATTTTGATTAATTTCCTTCCGGACAATTCTTCTGGTCCGTGCGAATGAAGTACGCTCTGCTTATGTTATTTTTATCGATCACTTGATACGCTTTCTCCAAAACTGAAACTGGCGGTTTCGGTTCTCTCGTGAGGATCCAAGCGTTTCGCACGCTAAAACATTCACACAATATTTATAACGTAATTATGACTTAGAGTGTGATCTCATTTGTCGAGTGACCAAACGATGCAGTATGGTTACCTGAATACACCAAAGTTTGAACAACTCCACACCACAGCGTAGGATTTGTAATCAGTGTCGAGGATCCAATATGGCGCGTCTATAGGCAGTGGTAGGGATGGAAATGTCACGATCAATTTAGGATCCTCGTTCCTGCCAATCACTCTTCCGATACCTTCGATGCTCGAAGATACTCCCGTCCTAAATACATACCAAGAATTTCAGTTATATTTTTTCTAGTAGTTTGAATTTCATTTCGAAATTTTGGAACGTTGGAATTTTGGAATCATACTTACAGGGCAGATATTTGCTTGTTCAAAATTTTTACCGATCCGTTTTCACCTTGGCTGTAATTGGCAGTCACGCATTTCCCACCAAATTCGAAAAGAGCGAAATACCTCTCCACTTCATACCATTTCCCTATATACTGGAAAACACGTTAAGGCAACTATGATTACTTAAATTGTAGAGCAAAATTTGGGTGCTTTTTTCGAAACGATTATTCGATATCAGCTCAGAAATGAAAACGATAATTATTCAAAGAATATCTTTGATAGTGGAATAATAGAAAATTATTTGACATGTGATTCGATAAAACTGGAATGAACTTTCGCGTAACCCGAACAATTTATGTGCTTCTCATTACGTCGAATGTATATCACTGTCACATCGAGGACAACTTTCTAATTGACGGTTGCATTAACTCATAAGTAAGTCAATAACACAGGGAAAGGCTGGAAAAATCCATTCCAGTTTCTAACATTTCTCGCTATCTCGAAGATGAGTAATAAGTTCATAAGGTCGAGTATTTGTACTCACATAAAAATATTGTCCATTTTTGGTTTTGTTATACGTACCCTGTTTAGATCGAAATCCGGCATTGTTTCTAAGTTTGGACACGCACCCAAAAATGGCACCTGCGCCGCTGCCACGCTCGCGATTATTAGAATTAGACACACCCGCAACATTATCCTTTCTTTTCTGCAAATAAAATAACAACAAATTTGATTTGTTCCAAATGAAATTATCTTTCTGCAACAACATACGTTCAATCGTTACTCTGAGCGATCAAAATACGAATTAATAATTTTTTATTCATCCAGAAATTCTATATTTTGAATTATTTGTTAGTAAACTATATCAGTGGCTACAAATTATTTTACGTTATTGGTCATAATACGTAAATTTGCAGCGTGATCTTTTATGCATGATGTTTGCAAATGTATCGCGGCAGAAAAATTACGGTCTCGGTTCGAACGAATCACATTTCAAAAGAACAGTTAACTTTGAGTGGTCGAAGCTCTTTTAGCGATGCAGTTATGATACAGGTATCGCTTGCATAGTTACCGTTATTTCTATATCTGGGCGCAACAAATTCAGAATGATAACACGCTGGAAAGAATATTTGTTACCAACGAAGATAACTCTGTCGCGACGACAATTTTCCTACCTATATCGTAGATTATTAATATAAAACTGAATAATATCCGCGTTGCGTTAGTCCATACTGGATTCATTTTTATTAGCACTTTTTCAGTATGCAATTAAGAGTTGTCTGACGAGTTTTCGCGGTTAAAATGAACTTTTATATCATTGCAAAAGAACATACTATCTTGTTTTTTTTAACAGTAACACGTATACATAGAAAAAGAATTACAAAACATTGAAAGCATTCAGGTAACCATACTAAGATGGAGAGTATTCTAAAATAGCTTAGTTTGAATCGAGAGAAATAAATTTTCTACAAGGCCAGTTAAATTATAATATTTTAATAAAACTATTCTAAACTCTCCAAGTCAAATATCCTGTGAAATACAAATAACGCGAGAAGTGAAAATTCAAATACACCTTAAATCTAAAATTTTTTATCAAATCGTGCACACTACGTTACAAGTTTCCATTAGAGAATAAACCTTAAGCGACCTTGAAATTTCTAAGAGACCGGTAACCTAGAAAAATTTCATCCTCGCGAGTACGTTGCTCCTTCGAATCAAGCTACTTATTTCTCTCATACTTTCTCCTATGGAAACAAGAACATCCAAAACGATCGAAAAAAAGAAAAATTGGAGTACACTGCGCGTTCGTCTCGTTTTCTGGACAATGTTTTTTCCCCCCTGTGTAAAATTTGAATAGAAGCATCGACGTTTCACTGGAAACGAACGCGCGTGTCTCGAGACCGCAAACTTTGTAATCGTCGTTACGAAGTGGAAACCACGAAGATCACGAATCGTTTCGATACCCATACGCAACACGTACCGAATTGATAATTGTTGTACACACGAATAGTCGTCGATTCGAGGAACTGGTCGTCGGGGTTGACTGTTACACTTCTCGCGCGATGAACTGTTCGCCGGTGACTGGCCTCTTCCCGTTCCTTACGCCGTCCACTTACGCGGACGAACTCTTGAAGGCTGACTGGATGCGTTCGAAAAATTTCTGTCAGTTAGTGGGTCACTAACGGTACGTCCCAAGTTCAAAAAACCCAGGTCCGCGATCCAAATCTACCATTGACCAATTCTCCGGCGACCGATTCTTTAACATCCACCGTGGATCAAATATGTATTTACACTCTTTGTTTCTTTTTGGGGATAACTTTATACATAGAAGCATCGTTGATCTAACATTCAGAGAAATACTGATTCTTTAACATCCACGATAGATCAAAAATATTACATTCTTTGTTTCTTTTTGGGTATAACTTTATAGATTGAAGCATCGTTGATCTAACACTCAGAGAAATACTGATTCTTTAACATCCACGGTGGATCAAAAATATTACATTCTTTGTTTTTTTGCGGGGTATAACTTTATACAAAGAAACATCGATAATTTACCAGTTTGAGAAATATCGATTCTTCAGCATCCACAAATGTTACATTCTTTGTTTTTTCGGAGGCGAGGTATAACTTTATACATACAAGCATCGATACCATTTAGAAAAATATCAAATCTCCGTTGATCGATTCTTCAACATCCACAGTGGACCGAACATGTATTTGCTATCTTTCTTTTTTTTGGAGGGGTATAACTTTACACAAAGATGCAATATATTAACGAAAATTTGTATGGATAGTATATTATACGGAGTACAATTTATAATAGTGCATTGGAAAAAATTGTGGTGATAAAAAACACGTCAGATAACTGTTATATTTTATTCTTTGATATTCGTATATTTTTTGTATAAAGTTTGAGAACTCCTTCCAAATTGTTTCTTCTGTACGCTGTTTAGAATACGTAAAAATTTTCCTTTCAAGATGGTTTCTGATCTTCGGTAAATAAAGTGGGTGTTTAGTTAGTGTAACACCTATTTTGGCCTAAATCAGTTATAAGAATGCAGCAGACTCCGATTTCTCTTTTCACTGTACCGTAGTCTTCTTTGAATCGGTTCGAAATTACCACTGAAAAAAATAGCTGTAATTGACAATGCATTCGTCTTCGTACGCGCTTTCCAACCATTTCGAAAGTTTCTGTGGCTGTTGCATGTAGTTTGAAATTAGAACTTGATACTTATTTTCTATTCCATCTTGAAACTATTACGATCTATCAAAATTAGGTCACGCAAGTATACTGTTGATTTTTGACAAGATTTAGACTATCACTAATTTTGTAACTTCATTGTCGCATCTTGCATATATAAATATTAGAGATTAAATTTTAAAGCTCATTGATAATTGTCGAATATAAACGTTAGTTCGTTTTGATCATAAAGTATATTATTCTTACGACATTAAAGGAGTAATTTTAAAGGAGAAGGGTACAATAAATAAAATAAGATTTCTCAGTAACATTTTACGTAACAATTTATTCAACTTTTCTTTTCTTTTCGCATTTGTACATGATTAAAGATAAGCAATTACCCGTTCCACCCATAAACAAATGAAAGTGATAATACCCGGAAGGAACAATGACTAATGAACAATAACATTCTGGCGAGACTGGTTTTCTCGAGAAAACCGCTACGAGCCCGAAGTCGTCAAACTAACCACCATCTACGCGTCTATCGAGGAAAAATAAATTTTTAAACGCTGTTTTCATGCGGCATTTTCCGTTTGTACAATTGGTTTTACATCTTCGTCGGCATTCTCTTTTTCTTTAGACTCGTTTGGTTTCATCTCCTCGGCGATCGTTGCGCTTTCCTCGGGCATGTCCTCTTTCATGGCGTCGGCCACCTCTATGATTCGTTCGGGAACGGTGTTGATCGACGGTTTCTTCGTTTTCTCGACCGGCAGGACGTTCTTCGTTATCTCCTTGTCCTCTTTCACGTTCTTTATTTCGCTGATCACCTGTGGAGCGTCCGGTACTATAGCTGTTCTCACGTTTCCGGTAGTACTTTCCTCAGTTTCCTCCGAGACACTCGCCTCTTGAGGTTTCGTTTCCGCCGGTCTCAATGGCAACACATCGAAGTGAGCACAGTCGTCTTGATCGGTTTTCACGAAGAACGTCCTGGAGATCTTGTATTTGTCCAAAACAGCGTACGCCTGGTCGAGAGAAACATTGTTTTACGGTTTGAATTTTATTTTAGGTGGAAATAAAGAGGGGAATAATTTTGTCTTGATTCTATGGGGATGCAACTTTGAGTCACGCTTTGAGTTCGTATAAATTTAGGATCAGGGAAGTTTGAACGTTTTATAGATACTTCTGTACTACGAATAAACTTTGAATGTTACTTCGTAGAAAAGTGATAGTTTAGATAACAAGTTGTGGTAAAAAAAAAATAACCTTTTGCACGACCGTTCCTGGAGCCAGCCTTTCTCTCGTCATGACCCAAGCGTTCTGCGTGTGGAAAGGTCCAATACCAGAACAACTCCACAGAACTGCATAGGTGTCATAATCGGTTTCCAGCACGGAATATTTGGTCTCTGGCGTCAATGGTATCGTGTACTTCACGACCAGTTTACCTTCCTCGGCTTTCGAAGGAGCTTTCTTGATTTCACCGTCCACTACCCTCTTGATGCCAGTGCTAAATGTTAAATTAATCATGGGTTACGATCTGTAGACTATTATTCAAAACACAGAAATATTACGTGGAAGAAAAATTTTGTACAGTGTAAATGACAAGCTTTTCGATCTTAGAGTTGTATACGATTGGAGATCAGTAATGTATAATAATAATAATTGACTTTTTACGTACGAATCCTCGTTTGGTATTTACACTGAATTTTTTAACGGTACTCACAATCTATTCGTAACTTGATTGCTGACGTGGAATTTACCGCCAGTACCCACTGTGTAATTTGCCATAACGCATCGCGACACCACCTCTGTGAGCTGGAAGTACCTCTCAGTTTCGTACCAGACGCCCAAAAACTGCAACACAAACGAGAACAATAATTAGAGAGTGTTTTCAAACATAAATGTACCTTCCAGCATTGACGATAACCATCTAACAATTATTCTGGTCTGAAAAATTTCATCAATAATTTATTTAATTCTTTTAGTCTAGAATATTCTAAGATTCTGGTTAATAAAATTAATTCTGTATCATATTGATTTCTCAACAGAAAAAGAATATTTCCAAAAACATAAAGTACTATTGTTTTTTACCATATACTTATACAAGTGTCTCAATGCTTTTAGGTACTTCTAGGTGTGAGTAGAATGCTTGCAAAATTTATACAAATATAAAGAACTATTATTTAGTATATGGTAAGAAATAATAGTACTTTATATTTGTATAAATTTTTGTTTAAACCTAGTACAAAATGGAAGAAATTACTTCGACAGACGATCGATAGAAACTAGACAATTTTTAAAACGCGAGAATTTAGACTTTCGTTGGGCAAAGTCAGTGTTCTATTTACCTTGTGCATGTCGAAGTTCGCCATGGGCACGTAGTCGGGACAGAAGCCCAGACTGGGTATCTGGGCCCTGGCCAACGCCAAAGTCGAAAGTACCAAAACAATTTTTCCGATCATGTCCTCTGTGGATCTGTCGTTGGCATCGTTCGAACCTCTTGTCTTATATACATTAACCGGGGACCGAAGGAGCGTTGACCGGCCACTACTCCCCTCTGTTTTACCTACACGTGAGTATTCTTACGGTACTCTCCGTGGGCCGAGAATCTGGTCAACAGGCGATGGTCATTGGTCAATGTTACCGCCGAGACTTCTTGGCAAACGAAGTTCAAGAAAGGTGGTAGCCGCGACCGCTCGTCGTCGTGAAACAGGCGAACGCAAGCTCCATTATGCAATTCTCTCGAGAAACGGTACTTTCGGTCGGCGAAGACGAATCCCCTCGGTTGGCGGATCGGTGTCAGCCAATTTGATGGAACGCCAAGATTTCCTGGATATATATGGCAATTGTAACGGGCTCGTCACGACTCTGGAACTGCACGAGGTCACAGGTTGCGCGGTCCCTCGTTTGAAAATTTCCCTGCCTCGACCGTGATCCCAAAAGCCGGCATACGTGGATCTATTTTCTTTCATTTCCACTTTCAGACAGTTAAGAATCTCTCGCAATCGAGTTAAATTTCTAAATTTTCTTTACGAGCACATTTTATCATCCGGGGATCAAGTTTTATTCGAATCGGATCATTCTACGTGAACGCTATTTGGAGCAACGTTTAAAATCTAGCTGCAATAGGGGTATGTTGTAATCGAAGAATTAATTGCAAGTGAAAATACTCGATTTTCAATTGCAATCTTGGCAAACGCTAGTCTCCCAGAGCAGCGTGCCAACGCTGGGTCACTTTGATCCAGCCTGGCTGGCCGAGGGTTAATGATAATTGTACACTAATCACGTATCTGTACTTTACACATGTTCGTTCATACGCGCCAAGAGTTACTAACAGCTAACTTCCACTGCCACTTTTTATTTCGACTCTCACTTGGTATAATTCCACAAAAGGACCCATTCGTAATTTGTAATAAAAATTCTAAAAAATTTACTCGACTAGATTTTTGAAAAACCGTAGTTTTCTATACGAGAATGAATAAACATTTTAATTTCGTTAGTACAAATAAATACACCATAACTGTTGGTAGTTCTAGTGTTAACAAAGGAAAAACAAATATAGCCATAATATTTTATGCTTTTGACCATAATCTTGATAATTTAATGCTTTTGATCATCTGGGAATGCACGGATTACGAAACTTACACCTTTGATGGCGTCGTTCCTCTTCTTGCGGCCATTCATGAAGTCGGTTTCCACAACCTCGACCTTACCGTCCGTATTTATGTTCAAAAACGGAATAGGTATCAGAGTTCTCCGCGATGCAAAACAAGAACCATTACTTACCACGTTGCAATTATGCAATCGATACTATTGCCAAAGTGCTTAGCATACACCTCAAGCAGTATCGGTAACGGGCCCCTCGACGAGTTCTTTTTTTGTACGAAATCGTTAAAGCCATCGAACCGTTAGTTTCGGCTCGAATACTTCTCCGACATTTCTTTCGAACCGTAAACGAGGAACCGCTACGCCCAATTTACATAATCCTTCGATAGAAATTTCCTGTTATTTTGTGCTTTGGTCGCTTCGTGCGGTATTTGACCATGTCCAAAAACTACTCTTCCAAATTTTGACTCTATATTCGTACAATTTATCAATTCGTACACCTTTGCGCTTTAAGAATTTTCTTACTCTTTGTTTTGGTGACGTTTAAAAGACTAAATTCCATAATAGTAATAGCATCAAACCGTAAACGTGCACTATTTTCACGTACCGAGTTAATAATTACGAATGAATTGATTTTGTCAGGAAACGGGAAGGGATGTTGATGCGAGCCAGATTGCCATCGCTCGTTTATCTCCTCTTACACGTTCGTCGTCTGAATTAATTTATTTCTTGTAAACCTATGAACACTAAGAAAGCACGCGGAAAACAGTTTCCGCTCGGAAGTTGCTTAAAATCTACGAAACTCTGACCAGATGTCCAAAGGGGCAGAACAAACGTAAACGACGATAATTCGAGGAAATAACTAAGGGAGGGACAACGAAAAACAAATAATTTTGCGAACCTCGCGAACCTTGAAATCGAAAGCTATCGAACTGGCCAAAAATCGACAACCCTCGTCGAGGTTTCCCATATTTGTCGCCATAAATATTTCACTCGTATCCGAACAATACTGTGTGCTCGTGTCGATGTATTGCAGGGAGGAAGAAAAATTAGACCTGGTAGGTTCCGGTCGTTTTATTCAGCCTTCGTAAGGTTCTGTAACCAAGCAAAATCTTGCATTGATCCTCGTTAGCGATACTCGCGAAACGCCTCCTCCTCCATCGTTGTTTATATTTTTGTCAGCTCGAGCCGCCAGTCGTGTAATTAAAAATCCATTTGAAACGAAATATTGGCGGTCACGATTTGTTTGCAAAACGACAGAGACCTATCTATCCTTCCCTCCGCAATACATTTATCTCCGATCGGTTGGGAGTGACGAGAATGAACCATCGAATCGATCTAAAATCATTTATTTTTACAAGTAATTCGCTACGCCCGAGAAAGACGAGGTGTCCATTTTGGACATCTGGACGCGAGCGTGTGCGTATACAGTGTGGGTGTTCGTGTCGGTGTACGTGTGTGTCGGTGTATGTAGGTGTGTCTGTGTGTGCGTATGCGCGCGTATGCATACACGGTAACGTAACTAATGAACGGTAAAATAATCTGTATACGTAACCCTAGTGCACTTACGTCTCGAGAAGAGGGGACGAGGGGGTTTTTGGAGGAGGGTTTCTAGGAGAAAAAGGGGTTGAAAAGAGAAACGACGAAACGTTGGTTACTAACAATTATTTAGGCGACTCGCAGATGAAAAGGGATCGTCTGTCGGGCGTATTGCAAACCACGGTCGAGAGACTCGTTCCTTTTCACTGTCGTAGCCGCGGATTGCGCTTGTGCCATGCGCCGAGGCGTCGCACGCTAAACAATAATTACTTTATCTTTATTATCATTTAGTATCACATTGCGTTCACTGTTTTGTGCTGGCCGTTTTTGTCTGGCTTAACGAGAGCGCACACCACCCCTCTAACCCCTTCTTACGCTCCTTTCCGCGTTGTCGAACGTTCCGCGAAGCCATCGTCGCCTCGAGGGATTTCGTCGCGAGAACAAAAAGAGGGCGTTCCATCGATATTCCGTTGCGATCGAACCTCGATACTTGCACGCGAACACCTCGTTATTGCCTCGGTAATTGCACGAATCTTGATACTTGTACGAAATTTCCAGTTCGCTTGCAATCATCGAGGTCCTATCGTGCATCGACACGCGTTTCTTTCGAACGTACGTTTCGGTACGCTGATTTGGTAATTTCATATTTACGGAGATTAGTGGAGGTACAGTAAGGTTCCCGAGAGAAAAGCTCTAGGAGGAACGCGATACACTAGCGACGCCTGTATTCTTAATACGCAAACTACTGAGTTTGGGAACCCCATGGTACGAACGTACGTCGACTCGATACAATATCGTTTGCAAACGGCCGCTCGTTTCGTGCTCGAGATTTTCGCGCGGACAAGGAGGTAAAGAGAGGTCGAGGCCCTTCTTCAAGGCACCTTAGGTAATAATACCTACCTATAAAAAAAAAAAAAAAAGAAAAAAAAAATAATAATGATTATGACGTCCTGCGCCAACGGAAAAAAGGAATTAGAGAAACAAAAGCTACTACTTAAAGATCCTAACAAAACTTGGATTAATTCGAGTGATATTTAAAACCTTTCTACGTGAATTAATTAACGTTTCCTTCAATTCCTAAGCGAGCTCGTATCGTCATCTTACACGTGTACGTATCTTAAGCCTATGAACACATGAAATCACTGCCCAATCGACCAATTTGGACCCATTTGACAAGGCACTCGTGTCGCTGAGATACCAAAGATGTCTACGATGGAAAGAAATGATAAAGAGAAAACACACGAGAGGAGGAATATGGGCATGGTGAAGGAAAAACTGAGGACGATTAAGTGGAAGACGAGGGATCCGTACGCAGGAAGAACATTATTAACGTTTATTCCATCGATCGTTTCCGTCACGTCGATAATGTTCCTCTTCGCAGGATAGAGGAGAACGCCAATGTCTTTTAGTTCCCGTTTCCTTGGCCTTCGAATACGAAAATTCTTCCCATGCGTGAATTTGTTTTCGACACCGTTCAGCTCTCGACGAGCGAATTTGTTCGAGGCGATTGGCGGGCAGGACACCTAAGATCTACCTAAGACAGAAATCGGTGGAAAATCGGTTGGTCCCTTTGCAAAGTGTAAAATAAATAAATTGTTATCCGTCCGCTTTTGTTTTTTTCCCTACTACTAACGTTAACGTTATTTACATGTGAGATTTATTCTGCGCGCGCTGAGGTAAACGAGACGTCTTGCCGAGAGTGTCACGTGACGCGAACGAAAGCGCTAAAAAAAAAGAGCTTTTCCTTCTTTTCGTTTCGGTGAGAGCAAGACGCAACGAGAAAAATGGTGCGTTTACGCAATTATCATTCGCGACAATAATTGACTCTCGCCGCCTTCCACACGTTTTTTTTTTTTTTGCATTCTCGTTTTCGGCTTCCTTAACGATTCCTGATGAGAAGACCGTCAACATACCCGACACACTTCCGACTTACGTCGATTGGCGGAAATATGTTATTTGGTCAGAATTACTGGTCATCGCTTATTATAATAAACTGGTAGTTGATTGTCGCGTACCCGAAGAGTAGCGAGAACGACAGAACGCTTTCCGTTAAAGGCTCTTCCGGTGCCCCCGTGTGCGTGTCTGCTGTTTCTTCCGAAAGAAAAACGCCGTTTTGGTTTCACGTTAAATCCGTACAATTCGAAAATCGCGTTTTCTCTTTCTCGTCGCGAAGAAACAACGATCGACGCGCGCTTCCTCCAAAGATTTTCAAAATCGTCGAGGGTACGACATCTTCCGAGACGCTAAAACAGTTCTCGGGATGCATGCCGTGGGAATTAATGAAAATAATTGGAGACAGCTGTTCGCGAGTGGCCCTGGGCGTCTCGAGATCATCGTCCAGACCCATTAATTTTCTATTAAAAAGCGGTACAAAGAAATGCTGGATCGAGCGCACAAATACTGTGAGTGGTTCGCGTCGCATTAAAAAAAAAAAAAACAAAAAAGAAAATAAAATTTAGAGAAGGCACTCGTACTTTCCGATCCACCCCCCCGTAGAGGATTCGCGGAGTTTCGGTTCGAGCACCGGTTGGGCCTTAACCTTGTCGCTAGTCGTGGAGATTTTTGCTGAGCAGCAAATTGTTGTGCGGTCCCGACAGATGCCTGATGAGCTCTTGCAGACTATCGAAACTCAACGAGCAGAAGCAACAGGTGAACGTATTGTCGGGGGCGGCTATGACGCCTCTGTGAACCGAGCAGAGGTGCTTCAGCAGGTGGGCCTTTTGCTTGAACATGGCGACACAAAGTCTACACGCGAACGGTTTCTCGCCGGTGTGCACTCGCAGATGAGTCTTCAAGTTCCAAGACATCCCGAACTGTTTGCCACAATAACTGCACCGGTACTCGCGAACGGGGGTGGATTTCGGCGGGTCGTCCGTCGGTGGGGGCGGTGGGGCCCTCGCTGGGGGCAGGGCCCAAGAGCTCCACGGTGGCTCCAATCCCGTCGCCGACGCCGGGTCCGCGCTCGGTGGCCTGTGAGACGCTCCTGGTGGCGTCACCGACCTGTCCTGCTGCAAACCGCAAATTTTATTCAAATTTAACATCATAGAATCATGTACGATCCTTGTGCCACTATAGTACAGCAAAATTCCGATTATCCGCCTATTTTTCTGGGGCTCTAGAGTCCCATTACCATTTTCGTGTCACTCGCAACATTACCGACAGTTTAGAGAAAGTGAGACGGGAAATGAAATTACAGAAACATTTCTGACCACAGATTATAATTTCGATGGAGAATGTTTGTTCTCGAAGGTGTATAGCATTTGGGGGGTATGTGTATTCACCAAAAATGATTCTAATTGACAAATAATCGATTAAGAAAGTAAATATCTGAAACTTTTGTACGCTACTCTATCGGAGGATAGGGTAAATGACAGCAGAGTGGCTGTTTCTCGCCTCGACCGTTGCGGCCTTACGTGCGCGTATTTTTATCCTAACATTAACCTTTTCCTGTGTTTGTTACGTAACGAGAATGTTATCGCTATTATTACCACTATATCGTACCAAGAAAATGATATTCATATCGTACCAGGTACGGAGGTGCCGAGACGCTGAGGGGATGTGGCGCTTGCAATCGCCTTGGCGTCTCGAATCCAGGATTAAATGGTACAAAAGCCGGATTCTGCGCAGGTGCGTTGTGAAAGCCTGGCCTTCGTTTCCGATGGGGCGTGACAACGTATGCCTCCGCAGGTGGTATAGGTATTTCATCTGGTTTCCGTTTTCCCGGTTCTAAGCCTAGCGCGAGTCGAGCCGCCAATTGCCTTCTTCTCTCCTCTGCCTCCTCCAGAGATTCTCGCCTTTCCAGCATTTGTTTTTCTGACCTGGGTGAACAAAATTACATTCGTCATCTTGCCAAATAACGTATCCAATGGTGGCCAATGGTAGCCAATGATGGGATCAAGTAGGCTAGAATATCGACAAATGGAAGTACCACTTCCAAAGCAGAGTCGAATTTTCAGGGTGAACACATCCCTTAAATACACAGACAGGTGTTTCTCTATTTTACTATATATCTTTAACACCATACAAAAATGGCTGAAATGGTTTTTCTTTGCTTCATCAAGCTGTGCAAATAAATTGCTGAACATATCTTTGAGGACGAGTACAATTGTATGACAAAAATAAAGTCCTTCCATATTAAACCTCATCTTCTTTGGTGCTGGTGAATGTCCACCATGTATGACAAAAAAGTAGTTTTATAAAACACAGAAGACCATTAAAGTATTGCAACCACTTTCATATAATTGTAAAGATACATAGTAAAATGGAAGAGTATCTACTCCAACGTGTATTTTAATACTCTCTATTGCATAAGTGGATTCTTGAAGCGCGTTTTACAATTGCATTTTTAATTGCCAAAGAGTTTCCTTGAAAATACATTATTTATCAGGCGAATAATCGAGATTGCCCCATTGTGTGCCCCTGTATCGAACTTGATCCCATCCCCTGGCAGCAATTTATCTAAAAGATTTGCATATCTCCTGACTAATTCGTACCTAGGCACGATATCGTGGGAACTTTCGCTGGTAGTGGAGGTGCCAGAATTTAGACTCAGGTTCACAGGATCGGAGCTATCCCTCCTTCGGGGCGGTTCTATACTGCTTTCCCTGTTCTCCGTGAGGAGCGCCTCCCCCTCGATGCCCTCCACGTCTACTTCCGGTTCCTCTTCGCAGCCTTCGGTTTTTATGAGAACCGAGCAACAGTCCGCGGGATTGTTGGACTGCCTGAAACGTCCAAACGCGCGCTAAATTGGCTATAATTTTCAAATTACTCGATCACACGAATGTCGAAACGAGATAAAGGAATGACATTACTCGAATCGATAGCTTGCACAAGCGTAACCGTTCCTCCGGCGGAGCAAAGATCAGAGAAAAGTTGAAATTAATCTTAATAGTTCTCTATCTGAGAAATTACGGTATCTCTTTCGCTGATCATTTTGACATTTCACGAACACTTTAGCGCCCGTAGACCGTCTCTCTACCAACCTGCCGTCGTATTGCGACTCATAGCTCGAGCTTTCTTGGCCCTCGGAAGGCTGAGGGGTGGGTATTCTTTCGGGGTCGGAATTGCTAGAGGTCTGAAGTTGATTCGGCTCGAACAGCTCCGACTTTATTTGAAGAAGCTCGAACAGTTCCCTCAGCGGTGTAAGTTCCGTCGACTGAAACGAACAACAATGATAAAAGACACTCAAGGAATATTTTTATCGGAAGAAAGGTGTCGGACTCGATTCGACGAGACAGTTTGCTCACTGGAATTAGAGCTTCTCCGTTGTAGAGAAATTCCAGCAGGTGAGTTAGCTGGGTTTTTCGGACCCCGGACAAGTGGACCACGTGGTCCAACGCGGGGTTACGAAGGAGACCAGCCAAAAGGGGACTAGCTGCCGCCAAAACTACGCGATGGGCCTTGACGACGGAACCATCGTCGCAAGCCAACGTCACGTCCACGTGACGGTCCCCGGTGTACCAGGCTCCGACTTCTGCGGCCAAGGTCGCTGGATGCTTCCCATAATGGAGTGTTAGGAGACCGTCAGTATACATCATCTGCAAAGAAAAGACATTTGTTACACGCTGAATATCATCCAAGACATTTAGAAAGTGTCTAAGAAAGTTGCAACTTGGAATTACGACAAAATTAACTACAAAGAGAAGATGTTGTCGATGCCAAACAGCGCCAAGGAATTCAAGATTGAATTTTTATTCGTTACTTTGATAATGTTAGCGAGGGACCATTCGATCGTGCAGAGAAAAATTACGAAACAGATGTTGCAAAATATTACGAAGGTGTATCTCTCGCAGGAAGATTGCAATAATTTATTGTTCGCGGGTACACGTAACTGGGCAGTAACATTTCTTATCGTCGCGACGAGCGCGCAGGAATATGCAGCTAGATACAGTTTCCGTGGAAATTCTTTCGCAACTACGAAATAAACGAAACATGTGTGACGTCCTTAACCCAATAATGCGGTCTTGTCGGTTCGCGTCATACCAGAGACACGGCTTCGTTACACTAATTTCATCCTTCCGTGCCCCGCCTCTCTTAGAAACGACGGAAGGCGGTGACGTGTCGCAAGATTATGTTTCTCACGTTTCTCTGACATTCGCTTAGCTTTCTGCTAAGGAATTGAATCGTGCTTGATGGGAGCTCATTTATGTAATTAAGCGTCGAACTTATGCTCGTTCTTCGAACAGTGGCTCGCATAGATATTTTCAAGCAGATCATTAATACATTTCCCCCCTTGCAAGGTGATTGATTTTATAAGTTACCATTTAATATTTCTAGTAGATATTCAGTTCCAAAAATAGTTTTTACCTCTGGAACCTCTGGACGTTAGCAAAGGTTCATTTTATTAAACCGTGGCGTATTGTCGAAACGGGGATGGGTAATAGTTGGAATTCAGCCGCTGGATCGTAATTTTATCGTTCTGGGAAGAGAAATCAAGTTTACTTATCCGCCGAGATAATTGTTCGCGAGTAACAGTGTATCGATAAACATAATAGAAGCCTGAGATGCAATAACGTAACGAAGCACTACGCGATCTCACTGATTAATGATCTTGTCGAGAGGGGAAATCCTGCAGTTCTCGGTGCAACTCTATCGAGAAACTTCCTGTTAAAGAAGCGGCGTCGAAGATCAGGCTCGCAACGAAATGTTACCGTGACTCACGTAACTGCAGTGCAATTTAATTCGCGATTAGAAAATAACGTGGTAACTCAGTCGACGGTGAACAAGTCGCGCATTTACTCGGAGCGTCGTAACAAATTATACACGGTGGTACAATATGATTTATTTATAATGAATCTTCAACGCGTGTCGTTCTTGGACGGTGACGCAACGATGGAAAGAACGTTTTATCCATGCTCGCTATCGGTGGTTTTTTCAAAAATAAATTTGGCGTCTCGATCGTGCATTTCGTCGTTTCACGAAGGGTGCCGCCGAGAGAGAAAGTTTCGTTTCGCGTTGTAGTCTCGGATAGCTGAAGTATAATTAACATTATGAAACCAATGCCATAAGCATCGACGCGTTCCGCAATGTCAAACGTGTCCCAGGCACAATGGAGTTTCACGCTCGGGACTCGCGAACGCGAGCGAAACTTTCGTTCGTTTTACTACGGAGACAGCGCCAGATCCTCTCGATCGCGATCCTTCCTCTCTTTCGTTGACCAATTCTTTAATTGTAATTTTATAAATGTCCGGACCGGGTAAAAAATTGTAGAAGTTACAGGAAAATTACAAACACACAGATTTCAAATTTTATATAAAAATTTTACAAGAATCGTAACTCGAATCCCTCTTGGCATTCTTCGAATACATTTTGTAACATTTTTAATAGAGGCTGGAATCTTTTTGGCTAAAGAAATCCTAATGTTTTAAAATATACTTTCAATACAGAAAATAGTATTCAGAGTTTGTTCGTGGTATACAGATACCTATAAAATATTCAAATAGTCCGAGCTCTACCGCGAACTAATTAGGTGAATAATGGTCGCGAATCATTTTCACAAAGTCGTCCTCGCGTGGTATCGGCATGATAGAAGAACTCGTCAAACGAATACTCATCAGCCTGACCTTCGACGAGTGATCCGATCGAATTGGAAAGGCAAGACCTTGGGTAAGAGTCACGAAGAGGACGCGAATTCCATCCTTCTAAGCAATCGAGGCTCACGTACGTTACTTTCTTCGTTACGATCGATGTCATGGATACGCGGCAACGCTCCCATATTTTAGTCGAACGGATCGACAGACAGAAATGCGCAATGAAATAGCACGCTCTAGGTTATGATCTCGTTCCACGTTTCGTCACAGCCGCGAACAACGTCGTTTAAACCAGCGCTGTGCACAGAGCTTAAAACTTTCGCGACGCGTCGCTTACGAGTGAACGACAGCGTTTCTTGCTATTCCAATCGTGTCAGGTTAAGAAAAGCAGAGGAATATTTTTAAAATAGTTTATTTATGCGAATGTTTCAGAATTTGTTGGTTCAAAAATCCCAATGCGGATAGAAAATAAAATTTCACGGATACATATTAGGCACGTATCGCTTGGCCAACGATCGAAAAGAGAAGAACGCGAGAAAAAAGGTGCACGATTCTTGGGCAAGAATTATGGTACGACAAGCGCGGGGCATTACTCGGCCGTATACGTAATATCTCGTCGACCGCTTACTAAGAAAATCGCTGAATAAGGAAATCATTGCTGATACGTCTGCGTTCGTGTTGCTGCTGTTAACAAGCATGGCTCGTGAAGTTCAGGGTCAATCGCTGGCCGGCCGACTGCATTACGTCCGCGCTTACGCTTACGTTCGTCTTTCTTCTTCTATTTGGGCCTTGAAGACCTGCCGGGCAGGGTCTCGTGTCTAGTGGGAGCAAGGCTCCGCGTCGATAAGTGTAGAGACTGGCCCGTTTGCTCGCCAGAAGGGCAGGGAGAGGGGGGCGAATCAGGCCCCGACTGCTCGGAGCTTGTCTCTGCTTTGCAGGTGCTGCACCGCGCGTGTCGAGTCAAACTCTGTGCGTCGTGTCGTTAAACAGCAACGAATTTCTATCTTATCGACCGTTGATAACTGCGGAGCGTCGGTACCGTGGGCGGGAAATTCGAATCCTCGGAACTTCGACTTTCGAACAAGTTACTTTTCAAAGTATTATTTGAATCCTCGATCCTAAGATGGTACTTTCGTAATGACGTTGGAACATTTTGCATTCGACGAGGGCCGTAACATTTATTCGATCGCAGAAGAGAACCGAACGTTTTACGCAATCGCGAGTGGCTTCGAGTCGGCAAACATTTCCTTGGAGCGGAGAGATAATACCAATAGGTCTGTAGACTTTCGTGTCGTCACCGTAAACGACGAGGCTGGCATTTGTGGCAGGAAAAAACGAGTGACGATACACAATGGGAAACTGGTGCAACGAGTTCGCGAGGTCGGGATAAGATAAGATAAGAGGAGAAAGTAGGTGGAATTCGTAAATTTTGTTGCGCGAACTCTCCGTGGACGACGCTTCGCTTATCGCCGCGGCATACTAATACGGTCGCGCGCGCGAGCGCTCCTATCGAGAAATTGTGTGCGGTTACTTTCGGTTTGTCACGATCCGTGCACGTACACGCGACGCTCCACACTGTGGCAGCCTCTGTGCAACGATGCGCAGTACCATGAACACGCGAGCATTATAATCTTCTATCCGGATGGCGGACGTTACGATCTACCATTGAATCGAACAATGGCGAAACTGGGTTACGCAAATGTCGAGGCTGGAAATTAAAGCGCGAGACACCGGGGGCCGAGAGAGAGAGAGAGAGAGAGAGAGAGAGATCGGGAGGGGCGTACACACCGGGGTCGAGCAGCGAAAAAGATCGAGCAACTCGCACGAAAAACCGTGGCCTTAAACGGAGAAAACGTCTGTCGATGAAACGTTATTACCCGACGTTGAAAGGAACCTTCTTGACGCCACTGGTTAATCCATTTTGGGCTCGATAATAATTGCAGTTATCATTTTTATGTTTCAACTTGTTACGGGAGGAAAGACGTTGTAAATTCCGATAAATATGTAATAATTGTATCATCGGTATTTGTAACATGGTATGATTAAGATTTGCATTTCTAATTACACTGTCAGTTCAAATGAAGATCAACCTAGGGTACGATCGACAAGAACGTTTAAATGGAAGATCGAATAAAATTATTCCACGTTCCCAAGAAAAACGTGAAGATTGCACAGAATGCTCCAATCGTAAAGTCCAAGAAGAAAGAAGAGAAAAATGTTATACATGCGAAGAATGCAAAAGAAAGTCTGGTTTGCACGTTGGAGAGCGTTTCAAGAGATACCAGAATAAAACTCGGCTCATTCGATTGCCAGCGAACGGTCATAATTTATGGAATGAAATTTTCGTACTGTATTATTCCAACAATTATACGTTTTAGTATCCATTTTAACACAGACTATTATTCACTATTATTCAAAGAGCTGTAAAGTCAATAATTTTCAAAATTTTCAAGTTTCGGTAAAATTTGAAACGTAGTTTCGGAGAGTATTCGATTTGTCAAGGAACGATTAGTGGTCGAAACGCGCCACGATTTATCGATAACAACGGGCATGTGGAACGAAGTAGCCGCGGCGTTATCGTGCAACTGTTACTTTCGTTCCGACGATTAAATAACAACGAAAGAAAAAGCGGTACGTCGAGGTCGTCGAAAACTATTTCGCGGGAAAGTGAAACGCGACGAGTCGAATATCGACGCTTTAGTGGCGCGAACGATCAACCCTACAGACACTAGAAGTGGAGGAAAAGGGACCAAAGAGGGTCCCTATTGGGCCCACCAGTCAGTTATTTTACATCACTATCGATGATAATAATTCCATTTTAAAATTCACAAATATTAATTTTCACTCGGTGTAATCGTTTCAAACTGGTTGCTGGTTTGTGGGAGGACTATTTTCACCTTTTTGGGGTGAAAAAAGATTGGGGTGGCTTATCGAGTCACTTATGTTATGCATATTTTTTTAATAGAAAATGTTTTAGAAATAATGTGAGCAGCAAGAACCACAGTATT